TTTTTTTTTTTTTTAAGTAAGCTCTACACCCAACATGGGGCTCAAATGCAAAACCCTGAGATCAAGAGTCACATGCTCTACTGACTGAGCCAGCCAGGCGCCCCTATTTCAATCTTTTTAATGTTTTTCAATCTGATAGATAAAACGTATCTTACAGTTTTTATTTAATTTTGAGGGAGGATAATTTTTTTTATTTGTTTAAAAACCATTGATACTTTCTTTGAGCTGCTTTTCTTTATCCTTTGCCTATTTCTAAAAATGTGGATAATCTTCTTAATGATTTGCAAGAGCACTTTAATGTTAAAGATGTTAGCTCTTTTCCATTATAGTGAAAATACTTCTTCCCTTTTTGTTGAAAACTTATTTGTAGGAACTTCATAGATTGATCTAACCATTCCCCTTTGAAGATGTTTCTGACAAAGATTTAGGTTCCTAAACATTTATCCATTTTTGATGATTTCCGTGGGAGAAAGTCCTGGCAATCCAGTGTTGTTTTGACAAACCTGGGTTTTAATTGTGCCTTTATAGTCATTGGGGGAATCTAACTCTAGATGAATAGCCTCAGATCTCTCATTAGGAACAGTCATTAAAAAACTTTATTTCAGGGATGCCTGGGTGGCTCAGTCGGTTAAGCATCTGCCTTTGGCTCAGGTCATGATCAAAGTCCCTCATCGAGCTCCTTGCTCAGCAGGGAGCCTGCTTCTCCCTCTGCCTGCCACTCCTCCTGCTTGTGCTCTCTCTCTCTGTCAAATAAAATCTTAAAAAAAATAAAATAAAAAAATAAAAACTTTATTTCATACAGGTGTGTATATCCTTTACTTGACCGTATGTGGTTATAAAACTAACTCTTATAGTTAACTAATTATATAAAATGTAGGAGTTTTTGTTGTTGTTATTATTTCTTTTTTTTTAAGATTTATTTGAGAGTGAGAGAGAGAAAGTGAGCATGTGGCGGGGGGAGGGTGGTGGCCAGAGGGAGAGGGAGAAGCAGACTCCCTACTGAGCAGGGAGCCTGATGCAGGCTGATCCCAGGACCCTGAGATCATGACCTGAGCCAAAGTCGGATGCTTAACTGACTGAGTCACTCAGGCACCCCCCCCTTTAAGATTTTATTTATTTATTTGAGAGCGAGATTATTATTGTTTAATGTTATTTATTCTTTAATTTCAGCCTCCTTGCATATGGGTATAAGTCAGCCATTCTGTTTTTACCCAGCTGGATTGTAGTTTAGGATAGTTAACATGAAGATTATCTGTAGGAAATTCATAATGTAATTGTTGGTATCCGTAATCTGCTAAGCTGTTCTGAAAGGTTGGGGCAAATCTAATTTGTTCAGAAATAGTAGTCATAGTTTTTCTGTTCCCAGCTGTTGGGAAAGTGTTTGATTCATCTCTGTTCATTTTTGTATTCTTCCTAACATCTCACCTTGCTCATCCCATTCCAAGTCCAGCTCATTCGATGTTTTGGAACTGTTTGTATAGATGGGAAGTCTGTCTATGGACCAAATATACTAGTTCCTAGATGCTTTTGGGGTTTTATAAGTGTACCCCATATTTTAGATCCTCAACTCAATACATTCTGGATCTTTATGGAAAAAAATGATTATAAAAGTTTAGTATCAGAAATTTACTTTTTTCTTCTCAGGAAAATAATCTTTATTAAGATAATAGTTTGTATCTGGCAGTGGTCCCATTTTCTAAGAGAGGGAATTAGAAAATGTGACATTTTCCTTCTTGGGTTTGGACTTTATTCTGGTTTCTGAGCAGAAATGAAACCAGCTTACCAATTTTTATAACTTTTAATTGTAGAGAAGTTGACAAGTGAGATTCAAAGTCGGGAAAATAAATGCATGGCTATGTATAAGAAGCTGAGCAGGTGGCCAGAGTGCAATGCCCTTTCCAGGCGCCTCTTATTGAAAAAGTGAGTAGATGCTTCTTTTTGGACCATGAGACTAAAGTGGGGCTCTCAGGTGTCACTACTGAATTTTTTTTTTTTTAATCTGTTGTCTTTTGTATTACCTGGGCATAAATCTTTTAGTAGTGTGTCCTAGGTATTTTTTAAGTTTTTGATGAACCTTTATCTTTTGGTAAAGAGGTATAATGGAACTTACGCCACAAGGGTGCTGAGTGTTACATCTTTAGAATGAATGCTAAAAATCATTGATTTGTTAAATTCAGTATTGGTCTAAAAGAAACATGTCCCTCCCCCCTCCCCTCCCCCCCATTTTGGGGAAGTGCTAATGTGGGAATTTTCTGTTAAGAATATTAGTTTTCTGGACCTGGTTATTTCATTGAAGGAAATAATTGTTTCTTAAAAGTTTTTTACTTTTTTTTTTCTTTAAAACTTTTTTTGCTTTGAAAATGCCTTTGGAGTTGCCCTTTTAGGCAGCAGAGGAAACTCAGAGGGAGGGGTGGGCTTCTCCTAGTAAAGACTAAAATGTAACTTAGAAAATAAGTTGAGTATCATGGTTCCTAGGGCAGACTTGTCACAACTTGGGTTTAATCCTTTGTGTACCATTCAATCTGATTTTAGCTCAGATGACTGGCAGTTCTATCTGACTTACTTCGATTCTGTCTTTCGACTGATTGAAGACGCCTGGACTCCTCCTGCTGAAGGTGAACAGTAAGTTGACTCCTTTCCTGAATTACAGTGGCACTTTTTAGCATGGTGTATCAAAAGGATTTCATTGGAAGCCTAATAGAATTCTTTTTTGGTCTCAATAGTGTATCCCTTTCAAAGTATAAGATTTTTCATTTTTTTAAAATTATAAAATAAATATGTGTTCATTGTAAAAAATCTTAAACTAGTGCAGAAATGTATGGTGTGAAAGTGTTAGTTCCTAGTTATCTTACCATCCCAGAAATAACATTTTTTCCTTTTTCCACTTTTATTGAGGTATAATTGACTCAGAGATAATTCTTTTTTTTTTTTTTTTAAGTAATCTCTACACCCATGATCCTTGAACCCATGATCGAGTCGCATGCCCTGCCAACTGAGCCAGCCAGGTGCCCCCAGAGATAACTCTTGATGGCAGTTTAGAGTCTTGTCTTCCAGATTTATTTCTGTTGATATACTAACATAATTATTCTCATTATTTAACATAAAAATGCAGTCATATTAGACATAATGGTTTGCAACTTAGTATTTTCTCCCTTAAAATGTATCTTGAGCATCTTCCATATATGGTACATACAGATTCGTTTCATTCTTTTTAGTGACTTAAGAGAACTCCTCTTTAGAGATGTACGGTAATTCATTTAACCTATCCCCCATTGATGGACTGATGGACACTTGGATTGTTGCTGGTTTCCTTTTTTTTTTCTTTCTTTGCTATTCTAGACAAAAACACAAACATAAATGGGATCTTTTTAAAAAGGAAGCAGGATTTAAGATGGTGATGAGCTGATGCTTACTTTGTAATATTAACTGAGTCATCTGATTTTTCTCAGTCTTCATTCTTTAAGCAGTAAAGTAAAATTTACTTAGATTTTTTAATTAGGCAATATTTTATGTATATAAAGTTATCCTTTTTTTTTTTAAGAAAGCGGTAGAGGTAATTAGTCATGGTGCAGTAATCAGATGCCAAAATCGGGAGTAATCCTTTGCCATGTTGTCAGAATGTGCTCATAGTTCTTTTACTCCCATATTATTTTATAATTATCAGAGTGCTTTTTATTTTTTAATTTGTTTCTTTAAGTCAGTTTGGCTTCACTTTTAAGTTTTAGGATGGACAAGAGAGATACAAAATACCTTTCTCCATGTGTGTTTTTTTTTTTTTTTTTTAAAGATTTTATTTATTTATTTGACAGAGAGAGACACAGTGAGAGA